CTTGTAGCATAGGGCTCATAGAATGACCATGTACAAATAAGCTTGTAGCATAGGGCTCATAGAATGACCATGTACAAATAAGTTTGTAGCATAGGGCTCATAGAATGACCATGTACAAATAAGCTTGTAGCATAGGGCTCATAGAATGACCATGTACAAATAAGTTTGTAGCATAGGGCTCATAGAATGACCATGTACAAATAAGTTTGTAGCATAGGGCTCATAGAATGACCATGTACAAATAAGTTTGTAGCATAGGGCTCATAGAATGACCATGTACAAATAAGCTTGTAGCATAGGGCTCATAGAATGACCATGTACAAATAAGTTTGTAGCATAGGGCTCATAGAATGACCATGTACAAATAGGCTTGTAGCATAGGGCTCATAGAATGACCACTCAGGTATAATAAGGTGATCATGTGTGTACAAAACTTGTATTGGTAATAACTTTGGCATACATTAATATTTTTCAACCAAATTTTCTGTGGTGATACATTGGGTTAGTTGTCATCGATTTCCAATATCAAATTTAAATTACGAGCTGAATGACGTCATCAGTGCTACTTTTTATGTTCAGATTTCAACCCAAAACGCGGAGAAAACGAAAAATAGTAAGGCCACAAATCCTGGTGAACTGGATAGCCTTTGGGCCCTAGATAAAGGATATTGGTGGATATTGTACATAGATAACAACATTTCGCTGGAAACCAGTATCGACTTGTTTCACCATACGCACTGTACACATTTAGTATACGAAGCTGTCGTACCTCGGAGTCTGTTCAGACTCACCACCGCGATGAACGGGTGTTTAGTATCGATATCCAGCACATTCCCGCTTGCTGGGATGTACAGCTAGCCAATGCAACAGCTCTCATTCGCCAAAGACATTCCCAACGCTCCGCGTTTATGGATGAAGCTGTCATTGCCGTTTCAAAATAGCCGACATTGTCTCTTACACATGAATGACTGTGCTGTACATGTAGTGCATCACACCAGCAATCTGCTGTAGATCTACAGACAGTGCATGCAGCGAGCCGAGCATGCGCACTTGAGTAGGGTACTTGACTCCCACGCGCGATCGCTGGTCACAACTGTGAACAGAGTCTGTACACGCGACTGTGCTCGTGTCGTAGTGACTTGCAAGTGCACTCTGTACTGCACTGATGTACTGTATGACTAGTCGACTGGACAGGAACAATGCAAGTGCAGTTTTCAGTGCGTGGACTCGGCTACTAAAACATTTTGTGGAAGCAAACAAGCCTTCTTTATGATCTTGGTCATTTTTCTCAATCGACTCTGCGCTTCCAGCTAGATGTGTCCGTGGGGTATTGCCCAACTAGAACTGTAGTCCTCACATGCCCCAGGTCGCGAGGAGCTAATCACTTGTGTCAGCAGAACTCCTGCTCGGGACTCGACACATTTATTCCGTCCGATGTCATCCCCGCTGCGAGTGGGGAGCTTCATGCCCACGATAAAAGAGAACGTCATGATATATTTTGAATCCTTCATCAGAGAAAGCTATTCGAGCTCAAAACGACACAAGACAATGGCCACGATAAAGATACTCGTACAGATCGCGATGTGACTGGCCTCCAAAAGTGCTGCAAAAGACTTGAAGTATTTTTCAAAACAAGATTGTGAAAAAAGGTGAGCGCTCGAGTGCGGCGAACACGGCCAAACGCCATGTTTTCCTTGGTAACATGACGTCAGCCACATTATCACCATGGCGAGTTGCAGCGCTGATCTTGAAGTACAGCGGCACCAGAAAAGTGTCCTTATTCTACCTGAGCATGTACAAATAAGCTTGTAGCATAGGGCTCATAGAATGACCATGTACAAATAAGTTTGTAGCATAGGGCTCATAGAATGACCATGTACAAATAAGCTTGTAGCATAGGGCTCATAGAATGACCATGTACAAATAAGCTTGTAGCATAGGGCTCATAGAATGACCATGTACAAATAAGTTTGCAGCATAGGGCTCATAGAATGACCATGTACAAATAAGCTTGTAGCATAGGGCTCATAGAATGACCATGTACAAATAAGCTTGTAGCATAGGGCTCATAGAATGACCATGTACATGCGTGTGATACAGATTCATCATCGAAAATACGTACTACCATGCATTGACGACGGGCATGCTAGCAGCACACACTTACCTGGTATATCTACAGACTACACGAGTGCATTGGTGAAATCAAGTACTGCGTTGTCATCTTTTTATTGTTTATATTTTTTGGAAATTTTGGATGACCTGCCATTCCGGGTAATCGGCCTTCCGGCTGCCATTCCGATACTTGATCTTGCGGATAGGTGATGTGGGGATAATCTATGTTCCACTGTATTTGTGTGATATTTTTCTTTGCCTTCAGACGTGCATCGGACAGAACTGTGGGCCACTGTAACGCACGCTATTACTGCTGCAAACATCTACAGTGATGCAGAGGACATCAACGGTCAACGTTCAATTTTGCATGTGTCTGAAAAAAATAATTTTCCGAGTGTGCTGCTTGTTGCCGCTTGTTGCTGCTTGCTGCTGCTTTCTTGCTTGTTGTGCGTGGATCATGGTCGTCGTTATGTCATAGCAGTGGGCTTGTGCGCATGTGTGTGTGTGTGTGTGTGTGTGTGTGTGTGTGTGTGTGTGTGTGTGTCTGTGTCTGTGTGTGTGTAGCTGTGTGGTGTAGCGGTCAATTCTTCAGCCTTGCAAGCTGTTGAATGGTGCAATCCCAGCACAAGCTGATATGGCTTCTGCTGTAGCATCGCTATCATCGCCTCCGGCGATGGGCGTCCAATGGTCCAATGGTGTGTGTGTGTGTGTGTGTGTGTGTGTGTGTGTGTGTGTGTGTGTGTGTGTGTGTGTGTGTACTGAGGAGATGCTCCCCGCATGAAACTCACGGTTGCTAGCATGGCTGCTTGTACCCCATGGGCTTACAAGGAGCGCAGCATGAATGCTTCCCCTATCGTCAACCACTAAGCAGTTTACAGCTTGTTATATTCTAATGCCGGGAGAGCTGGGTGATTCTAATGCCGGGAGAGCTGGGTGATTGGATGTGACATTGTAGCTTGTAAGGTACAGTGTACCATGCTTCTGCGGCAGTGTATTGTGCGGGGCCTCTGGGCCTCCCTGCCGCTTGGAACGTACACCCCATGCTACCGTCATATTCGATTAATTGTGCGGTACAATTCTATTGTGTGTGTGCGTGTGCAAGTCTTTCTTCTCTTTCTCAGACTCCTCCCGACTTTTCTTTCATTCTCCTCGGTGGTTACCAACAGCCAGTGCATGCAGAGTATGTGATGTGATGTGTGTGCATGAAAAAAATTAAAAAAACCAAAAAGTAGGGATTCACTGGCCAGAAAAAGCCACTTCATAGCTGTGTGGTGTAGACCCTCCTGAACAGTGGCAGTCAATTCTGCAGCCTTGCAAGCTGTTGAATGGTGCACTCCTAGCATAAGTGGCTATGGTTGTTGTAGCATCGTTATCATCGCCTCCCGCAATGGGCGTCCAATGAGCCAATAGTGTGTGTGTGTGTATGTGTGAGCGATGGCAGAAAGGAGATATTTTGATGTAACGGCGCTCATTGTCTAGCTCGAGTGCTGTTTGAAATAGGATTGTGATTGGGTACTAGGGTATACCGTCCCTGCTCTGATTGACTGAATTTTAGAATTCTCTAAGCCGGCAGAGAGAATTCTAAAAATTCTGAAATGACTGGTCAACCACCCTCAACCAATCAGAGTTCAGCAAGTGTTATCTTCTTGGACTTCTGATGGCTGAACTCATGTTATGTTTTTTTTTCTGCATGAAGGAGAAGAAACAAGCCTAGAGAAGAAAATCAGAGTTCAGCAAGTGTTTTCTTCTTGGCCTGCTGATGGCTGAACTTTCTGTTTCTGCATGAAGGAGGAGAAACAAGCCTGGAGAAGAAAATCTAACCCCGACCACCATCCCCATTCTACCCTAATGCAGAAACAACAGTGTTTCTCCTTCCTCATGCAGAAGTTTAAGCTGAGAAGAAAATCAAAATCTGCCATCCCAAACCCCGACCACCATCCCCTCCTGGAATGATTACTTTTATAGCCTATCCTGGCTCAGCACTTCACACCTGAAATGACTGGTAAACCGCCCTCGGCCAATCAGAGTTCAGCAAGTGTTTTCTTCTTGGCCTGCTGATGGCTGAACTCTTGTTGTTTCTGCATGAGGGAGGAGAAACAAGCCTGGAGAAGAAAGTGTAAAAAATCTGCCATCCCAAACCCCGACCACAAGAAAATCTAACCCCGACCACCATCCCCATTCTACCCTAATGCAGAAACAACAGTGTTTCTCCTTCCTCATGCAGAAGTTTAAGCTGAGAAGAAAATCTATAAAATCTGCCATCCCAAACCCCCGACCACCATCCCCTCCTGGAATGATTACTTTTATAGCCTATCCTGGCTCAGCACTTCACACCTGAAATGACTGGTAAACCGCCCTCGGCCAATCAGAGTTCAACAAGTGTTTTCTTCTTGGCCTGCTGATGGCTGAACTCTTGTTGTTTCTGCATGAGGGAGGAGAAACAAGCCTGGAGAAGAAAGTGTAAAAAATCTGCCATCCCAAACCCCGACCACCATCCCCTCCTGGAATGATTACTTTTATAGCCTATCCTGGCTCAGCACTTCACACCTGAAATGACTGGCCAATCGCCCTCGGCCAATCAGAGTTCAACAAGTGTTTTCTTCTTTGCCTGCTGAACGCTTATTGTTTCTGCATGAGGAGCGGAAACAAGCAGGAAAATTCTACCGGAGCAGAAAATCTTAGAAGCCTCTTCTCAGGCTTGCTGATTGATCTCTCCCCCCCCCCCCCCTCTCTCTCTCTCCCTCTATATAATATATAATATTATTATATTTTTCAATCAATCCATCTCCTTCTTCCTCTCTCTCCATTAACAAAAGGAGTAAATTTTGACAAAATTTAGCTCCACTTATCTGTCTCGCCATGCTGGACATGGCAATCTTGGCCGAGGTATCGAAAATTTGGAAACTCAAATTTACAAGGCTTTGTCTAGACGGAGTAGGAATTTTGCATGTTAGCAACAGTAAATAGCATACACCAAGGTCATCACAAATCTCCATACATAAAGTACACTACATTGGCACCAGCAATGCAATGCAGTATATAATCCGGTGGAGTGCGGGCCACCGGATTTTGTCCCGTGAACAAAGCAGTTGTGTGTGCACATCCTTGGCAGCCTGGCAGTATCTGATTCATAGGAGTGAAGTCCAAGTTCCATTATAATCCAAAAGGCCACTCATCCCAATACAATCAAGTGCTGGTCATATTTCGCTATACCAGACACAATGTATCTGCACAGTAACAAGGCATATGTATATTCTAAACGCCAAGCAGTGTGCGGGCCAACAAGCAAAAAAAACCGTTCGCGTGTGTGCGCGTGCGGAGTGTTCTTTCAAGATGGCAAGAGTCATTGTAATGTTCAGGTACCTTGTCAACTCTTCCTTATAGAAACATGTTCAGATGTTATTGAAGCTGGTCGAGGTCCTGTTCATTTGGCTCCCGGTCTGCAGGGTTGTAGTTGGAAATTCTTTGAACAGCCTTTTGCTTGTATTCATCATTGCCCAACTTTCATCATCACAACTATAGTGTCTCAGCTGGCCTCCTCCTGAGAAAAACGAGAGTAACGAACAAGAAAAATACACCCGTGCCACGCATGCACAAGTGCACGCATTTACACAGGCACACACACACATACACACACACAACACACACATACACACACACACATACACACACACACCAAACATGGCAATGAACTACACATATATCCGTATTACAGTAGAGTTGCACGTCCAAGAACGTTGTTTCCAAGCGATTGGCCTGGGGCGTTCTTATTATATTTGTTCGGCAATCTTGCTGCATTCTTATAGCACGTTCTTGGAAACAATTCGTTGTGGATCATATCTATCCCAAACGCTGCCGGAAAACCAACACTGCCGTTCTTAACTTTAGGCTGTGGCGTTCTTAGCATTTCATGCCGGACGTTCTTTGGCTCGACGTTCTTCATCGCGCGTCTCTACCGTACTAGTATTACCTAATGATCATCGTAGTCTACACATACTACCCGCTGTTCAGACGGTAGTACGTAATATTTCTCTGGCATGGCATCACTAAGACTAGAAGTAATGGTTCCTTTTATTATTGATAGCTGGAGCAGTCCTTTCTCTGTCTTGTGCCAATACTGCAATAGTGATTCATGTATCAAGGCCTGAGCTACACTGTAGGCTGTAGTCTTCCCTGTCTCTCTTGTGGTTTTCTATTCATGGGGGCGATCTACAAAGTGGCGTCATAACTATTTCCAACTGGCCGTTCATGTATTACATGCATCTACTTCTTAGCTGTGTGTTGTTGCTTGTTGCTGTGCATGGTCATACATTTGTATTGCAAAGTATCATGGCTAGCTTTCGTGCCGTACAACAGCGCGTGTGCGGTGGCTACGCCTCTGCTGTTTTGCCAGCTGACAGTGCGGCATAAATTACTTCATCTTTGCCTTTTGTCTTCGGTTGTGTACCGACATGGAATGTTTTCGGTTTTAGTAGTTCCTTGGTTCGCGTTGTGTAGCTAGCTAGGCTGCTCTTTCAGGTGTAATTGTATTTGGAGTGAAAAGATAAGATAACGTGTTCCTTCGTGTGAACATTCTGGTAGCAGAGGATGGTTATCGCCTGAGTGAGCAGTTCAGTTTCGGAAATTTAAATTATTTAGATCATGTCGTCGCCGGAGCCTGAGAGTGAGAGCACAATCAGGGCTAGCAGTCAGAGAACTGAGCTCTTTTTAGGTGCCATGGCAGAGAGGGCAGGCGACGTGATCGAGGAGGACGAGGAAGTCGAAGAGGACGAACATGGTCAAAGTGACCAGCGATCGAATGAACTGATGTTCGTGAAAATGAAAGCTGAAAAAGCGAATCGCAAGAGAAAGTTCACCAGGTGTCGCAGAGCCGTGATCGTGGCCTTGCGTGACGGAGTTGAAGAGGAAGCTGCGAGGTCGTTGTTTGGCGAATTAGAAATGATCGAGGATGCCCTGAACGGTGTGTTCATGGACGTACTCGAGTGGGCTGGCGGCATGAACGATGCGCTCGCAGTGGCTAAAGTGACCGATGAGATGGAGGAAGCGGAGAAAGAGATGAAGGAGGTCACAAGGCTGTATCAGGAGTTCCTAGAACACCAGCCAGCGTGGACGGCTGCACGGAACAGCCACCCAGACAGGCCAGCGTATCATCAGTATGCCCAGGCACCAGTGGAAGAGCCAGGAAGTCCACTGAGTGTGATATCGCTGGGCAGAAGTGAAGGCTCCCAGGATCGGGATGAGCCTGGTGATGGCGTGGCGCTGGTTCAGGAGAACCAGGCAAGAGTAGAAGACAGTGATGAAGTGGTTGTGACCACAAGTGTCTCCGGCAGTAGTAACAGAGAGGCAGAGCTTGGGGCTAGAACAAGGCCACCAATGGAAGCTGGGAGTAGGAGGTCAGAGTGTGAAAGAAGCCCTGCCTTGCCTGTACTACAGCCTGCTGTGCCAACACGGAGTGCTGTATGTGTGTCCAGTGCATATACTAGAGTGAGTGAGACCAAGGCCCCTCAACTTCAAGTCGCGAAGAGTCCAGGCCAGCAGGGCAGTAGTACTCAGGCTCCTGTGTCAGGACTACACCCTACATCATCTCTGCCATATCAGTCCGCCAACTATCTGTACACCCAGGCCAGTGGGCCACCACAGGTAGCCTCAAGTCATCAGGCCATGGGCATTGGTGCCTTTTCAGCATTGCCAGGAGCAGGTGTGTCCGCCAGCCACCAGCGTGCTGTGTCTCAGCCTCCACCTGTCAAGCAGCCACCAGATGAAATTTTCAAGCAACTGAAGGCTATACAGATCCCAGTCTTCGGCGGCGATAAGCAGGCGTATGCCTCATGGAAGGCTGCTTTCATGGCGTGTGTTGGTAGCTCGTCTGCAAGGGCAGACTTGAAACTGCTGCACCTCCGGCAGTATTTGAGTGGAGATGCCTTGGCTTCCATCGAGAGCTTGGGATACACCCCGTCTGCGTACGAGGCCGCAATGAGGCGGTTAGACCGCAAGTTTGGAGGCGACCAACGACAGCTGTCGCTGCAGTACGAGCAAGTCGAGGCCTGCCCAATCATTCGTTCCGGCCGAGCAGGAGATCTCCAGAAGTTCGCAGATCTCCTCGACGTACTCGTGGTCAACCTCCTCGACTCCGGAAAAGGCAATGAGCTGGGTGATGGGCTGTTGTACCGGAAGCTCCTGGCCAAGTTGCCGGCTGGGATGTTAACCCAATTCAATCGATGGTGTCATCAGAAGCCCTGCCAGCCAGGAATTCAAGCACTACTGGAGTGGGTGACGTTGGAAGCGGAGTTTGCCGTTGGAGCGTCCGAAGCACTAGATGGAGTTGGTGCGAAGGACAAGCCTCCGGCACCCCGGAATGCTCCTCAACGATCCTACTTCGGGGGAAAGGCTTCGCAGAATGCAGGGTGGTCAAGGCCTGCGGGCTCAGCGGCTGGACGATCTTCATGTCGGCAATGTGGCGGACCTCACGGTGTCTGGCAGTGTAAAGCATTTCAGCAGCTTTCCGTCGCCAATCGCTGGAGACAGGCTAAACAGCATGGTCTGTGCTACCGCTGCCTTGGAGGCGATCACCAAGGTCACCACTGTCCACGAACCAGACCCTGCTCAGTGAGCGGCTGCAACAACAATCACCACTACTTGCTACACCGGGACTTGCTACACGAGGACAGCAGGAACCCCGATGCCGCACAGTCAAACAAGAAAAAATCGGGGAACACGGCAGCTGGAGGAATGACGGCGGACAAGTCCCAACTCAGTCCTGCCGAACAATTCTGCAACTATGGAGACAATGGTTCAGGTCAGGAGACAGGGGACCAGTTATTGCCTCCCGCCATCGACTGTTTAGTAACGCCGCCATACGCCGGTAAAGACCAAGAGCAGCGCACCCCACAGTCGTTCACCGAGGGGGAGACGGAGTCCACGAAGAGTGATTCCACCATGATGGTCCAAGGCCCGAGCAAGATAGCTCTGCGAACGGTCTCAGTCGTCTTGGAGAACGGCAACAAGTCAGTGCAAGTGATTGCGTTGCTGGACGACGGTAGCACGACGAGCTACCTCAACGGCAGCATTGCCAACCAGCTCGGCGTCAGCGGGGAGCTGAGGACATTCACAGTCCACACCTTGAATGGCAAGCAGACCTCATTCACAACCAGACCAGTAAGCTTCACCATTGGCAGCATGGATGGCAGTGTTCGGCAATCTATGACGGCGCTGACGGCTGATTCGGTCACCGGGAATCTTCGTCCGGTAGAGTGGGTCAAGGAAGCAGTCAAGTATCCTCATCTGAGAGAGATTCCGTTCGCAAGACTGGCGGAGCCCGCCAGGGTCGATCTGCTGATTGGGAGCGACTATGCTGAGCTGCTTGTGTCACAGCAGGAAGTGGTCGGCCCGCCTGGTCAACCAGTGGCGCGTCATACTCCACTGGGTTGGACCTGTGTTGGCAGAGTGACGGGAACCCACTCGAGTCAAAGGACGTTCCACAGCCAAGCGTTTCAGAGTGAGGAGAGAGCAACACCAACCGGCTTAGAGACCGCGCTACAGCAGTTCTGGCAAATTGACAGCTGCGGCACGGAGGAGAGCTTCAGTGAGCCCGGCCCGCGCTCGCTGGAGGAAGAGACAGCCCTAGACATCGTCAAACACTCGCTGAAGAAGGTGGACGGTCGGTACCAGGTGTCTCTGCCGTGGAACAATCGCAAGAGAGAATTATGCAACAACTTGGGTGCGGCTACGAAACGTCTAGGCCACACCGAGCGCAAGCTCCTGAAAGACCCATTCGTTGCCCAGGCTTATGGCCAAGTCTTCCAGGCCTACCAGAGGAACGGCTATATCCGGGAGCTCGCGAAGGAAGAGCTAGGTCAAGAGGTATGCTGGTACTTATCCCACTTTCCCATCGTCCGACCGCAGAAGACGACAACCAAGGTGCGGATCGTCTTTGACGCTGCAGCATCCTGTCATGGCCTCAGCCTCAACGACGCCATCTACCCTGGTCCGAAGCTCCAACGTGAGTTGTTCGATGTGTTGACCAGGTTTCGGCAAAAGCCTATAGCAGTGGGCTGAGACGTGACCGAAATGTATTTGCAGGTGTCGGTTGCGCCAGCAGACAGGAAGTACCTCAGATTCGTGTGGCGGGACCTGGATCCAGCCAAGCCTTTACGGCACTTTGAGTTCAACCGCCTGGTCTTTGGCGTCAATGCTGCACCATTCATCGCCCAGTACGTTGCTCAGCAGACAGCCCGGGAACATTTGGCGTCGCATCCCCTGGCAGCAGAAGCTATCCTCGCGTCCACCTACATGGATGACACGATGGACAGCACCAAAGATGTCGAACAAGGTCAGATTCTTCATCGGGAGCTAATGGATCTGTGGGGTGAGGCCAAGATGACGCCGCGCAAGTGGGTGTCCAACTCGCCCGAGCTCCTGAAGGTAATTCCAGCCGAAGCTCGCGCTACCCAGCTGGACTTATCCCAAGGAGAGCTACCATCCGTGAAGACGCTAGGAGTGTCATGGGACGGTCAGGCAGACTGCTTCTTCTTCAGCGTTCAACCGCCAGACCTCACCAACCAACGCATCACCAAGCGATTCCTCCTAGCAAAAGTCGCGTCCGTATTCGACCCGTTGGGGTTTCTGGCACCGTTCGTGACCCAAGCCAAGATCCTCATGCAAGAGAGTTGGGTAGCTGGTATTGACTGGGATGAACCGGTTCCAGATGGCATCGACACCAGCGCTCGCCAGTGGTTCAATGACCTGGCGAAGCTCAGTTTAGTTCGAGTACCAAGATGTCTCATCCCGGACGTGGCCAGTGGCGTGACGCTGCATGTTTTCTGTGATGCATCGAGTGTGGCGTATGGTGCCGTGGTCTACAGCTCCACCGTGCAGCGTGGCTCTGAGGGAAACGTTCGTCTCGCTGGAGCCAAGAGCAGAGTGGCGCCGACAAGAACACAAAGTATCCCCCGGCTGGAATTGCTGGCGGCTGTGCTTGGCCTTCAGCTGGCCCGGAAGTTCAGTCAGATCATGACCATTGCCATGTCAGAGGTGATTTTCTGGAGCGACAGTGCAACTGTGCTGCTCTGGATTCGCAGCTACAGCCGACGTTTCAAACCGTTTGTGGCGAATCGCATCAGCCACATCCAGACTGTTACGTCGCCCAGTCAATGGCGGTACGTTCCCTCCAGCGACAACCCAGCTGACTTGGCGTCACGGGGAGCTGGGGTAGAGCAACTGGTTGCAACTGAGCTGTGGTGGCAAGGACCGGCCTTCCTGCAGAAAGAAGAATCTGAATGGCCAGCCAAGATCGTGGGTGGCCAAGACCCAGCTGCTCGAGCGGAAGCTCGCAAGGCTGCACAGCCCGAGGTGATGTCATTTATGTCCGAGAAAGTACCCAGCTTGTGCTCTCGGCGCTTCTCAGACTGGACGCGCGTAGTCAGAGTACGGGCTTGGGCAATTCGCTTCATCACCAACTGCCGTGGAGGTGAGGAGTTGAGCGGAGAGCTAACCGGCGAGGACATGGACGCTGCCAGCCTTTCCATCATCAAAGAGGCACAGCACGAGGCATTCGCGGAGGATCTGAAGCTAGTGAAGAATGGTCAACCACTTCCGCTGAAGTCACGTTTGGCGAGGTTATCGCCTCGACTGGACGACGACGGACTATTGCGCTGCGATGGTCGCACCAAGCTGGCTGACTGGTTGCCGTTTGATGTGCGCTTCCCGATTCTTCTCCCCCGGAAACATCCGACCACCCGGCTTATTGTCAAAGATTGCCATGAGCAACGTCATCATGGCGGGACGAATGAAACGTTGGCAGCTCTCTCTGATCACTATCTTGTCGAAGCAGCACGGGAGGAGATCCGTGACTGGGAGAAAGACTGCATGGTGTGTCGACGACTAAAAGCCCGTGCGGGAGAGCAAATCATGGCCCCGTTGCCAGCAAAGCGATTGTGTGAGCCACTGAGAGCCTTCAGCAGGGTAGCCGTTGACTACGGAGGGCCGTTCGAAACTGTGCAGGGGAGAGGAAAGACTCGCCACAAACGCTATCTGTGCCTCTTCACGTGTTTGCTGACTCGTGCGGTCCATTTGGAGATGGCGTACGCATTGGATGCAAATTCTTTCCTGAACGCCTTTAACCGGATGGCCAACCGACGAGGTTGTCTAATGGAGGTTCTGTCGGACAATGGAGGCAACTTCGTGAATGCCGACCGCCAGCTACGTGAGCTTGTTGGCCAACTGAACAATACCACCGTCCGGAAAGCCATGGCCTGCAGACGCGTGAAATGGAGTTTCAACCCGCCATTAGCTCCTCATTTCGGGGGAGTTCACGAGGCAATGATTCGAGCCGCCAAACGAGCTCTACATGCCATCCTTGGAGACGCATCTGTGACGGACGAGGAGTTGGTCACTGCTCTCAGCGGAGCAGAGTCCCTCGTCAACTCCAGGCCCATCACCTACCAATCGGCTAGTCCGAAGGATCCAGGGCCGCTAACTCCGAACCATTTCCTTCATGGCATGGCCGAGGGCCAGCTGGTTATTGCAACAACGGACGAGAAGGGGTGTCAACTGCAGAGACGTTGGAGATATGTTCAAATGCTCATCGACCATTTCTGGCATCGCTGGCTGAAAGAGTTTGTCCCACGGTTGAATCAGCGGATAAAGTGGCGACACCAGCGACGCGATCTGGCCGTTGACGACGTTGTCCTGGTGATGGATTCAAGCTCCCCGCGTGGGCGTTGGCCGCTCGGCAGAGTCACGGAAGTTTTCCCTGGTCCGGACGGACATGTGCGTGTGGTGGCCATGCAAGTGGGCGGGAAGACTCTGAAGAGATCCATCACTCGAGTCTGCCCACTGGAATGTTAGACGGCTCTCCCTACATGCCAGAATGGAGGTACTGCTCAGTGACGACCCCCATTAATGATTCATGCATTGTTTTTGTTTTTTTTGTAGCTTCCTACCACTGGACTTGCCCTTTCGATTCACTTTTCTCTTAGCTTGGTACTGGTAGTTGTAAGGATAGGCATCATGCAACATCTGGGTGCATATTGCGAGGGGGAGGATGTTCAGACGGTAGTACGTAATATTTCTCTGGCATGGCATCACTAAGACTAGAAGTAATGGTTCCTTTTATTATTGATAGCTGGAGCAGTCCTTTCTCTGTCTTGTGCCAATACTGCAATAGTGATTCATGTATCAAGGCCTGAGCTACACTGTAGGCTGTAGTCTTCCCTGTCTCTCTTGTGGTTTTCTATTCATGGGGGCGATCTACAAAGTGGCGTCATAACTATTTCCAACTGGCCGTTCATGTATTACATGCATCTACTTCTTAGCTGTGTGTTGTTGCTTGTTGCTGTGCATGGTCATACATTTGTATTGCAAAGTATCATGGCTAGCTTTCGTGCCGTACAACAGCGCGTGTGCGGTGGCTACGCCTCTGCTGTTTTGCCAGCTGACAGTGCGGCATAAATTACTTCATCTTTGCCTTTTGTCTTCGGTTGTGTACCGACATGGAATGTTTTCGGTTTTAGTAGTTCCTTGGTTCGCGTTGTGTAGCTAGCTAGGCTGCTCTTTCAGGTGTAATTGTATTTGGAGTGAAAATATAAGATAACGTGTTCCTTCGTGTGAACACCCGCTATCACATGCTTGTCAACATAATTATTATGTTGTACAATATCTTTGGCTACGGCCATTGTAAGAATAAAGATCAATCAAAAGTCAGCAGGGAAGACCTGTGATACACCTTGCAAAAGGGATCATTTGAAATCTGACCAGCAATATAAAAGCTATCGCCGAGCTTGTCCCAATCACTTCAGCCGACAGTACGTGTCCCATTTTGTGAATCAACCAGTGTTACATCACAGTATGCATATGATGTGCATGTGTCATTCAACTATTTTATTCATGTGTCATTCAACTATTTTATTCATGTGTCATTCAACTATTTTTCATGTAGTGTAATACATCATTGTACTAGCAAGACGCTTCTACATGTTGTCAGTACTGAGTGCAGGATAACTGGGTAACTTTTGTTACAACTCTGGTCGTACTTCTCAACTTTTAACCACTGGCAACGCGTTGCGCATATACCGATACCTAGTTAGGTTGACAAAACATTCAAAGTTGGACATGCCTGTTATACACTGAATATCAACGAAGATACAAATGCTGGGCCCGAAAGGAGGGGAGGCGGGGGTGCAGCTTAAACATGGATGCAGCTGTCAAACCCGGAAAATGCAGCATGTACACAAGCGGAATGTTCACTGAATAGCGGCCTGGGTGAGTTTCTACGTGCATAGGACCATTCATACGAGTACAATCATACAATTTTCAGGTCGTCAAGACAGCATGCAACTTCCGTCTTTTTCGTTAGACACGTTCCTCTGTCCAAACACACAATGAGAACAGTATAATTGCACGGTATTCACAAGATACAAATTGAGCAGGTCTGCTCAAACCTGAAATCAATCTTTCTCGAAGTTTTGGGCCTTTTTGCCCGTGATTCTTCACTTTGCGACTAAACTATTCACAGCAGTCCCAAATTTTCGGCGTCACTGAATGCGGTTGCCAGCGGCCTAAAAGCAAACCAAAAATCAAATCAATGCGACCACTCACATCACAGCTGGGTCATGTTATACAGAGGCACGTTGAAAGTGACACGTGTGCACACATGGTCAAAAAGCGACAATTTCTAACCTTTCTGCCCGTTCGAAGCTCAAGAACTGACTATTGCCACCCTGATCTTGTTCTATAGCTGGACATAGGGAAGTACACCAAGAAAAAATTCCACATTTCAATAAACAACTCGCCCAGGTCTGCTCAAGGCTGAAATCAACCTATCTCGAAGTTTTGGGCCTTTTTGCCCGTGATTCTTCACTTTGCGACTAAACTCTTCACAGCAGTCTCAAATTTTCGGCGTCACTGAATGCGGGTGCCAGCGGCCTACAAGTAAACCATAAATGAAAACAATGCGACCACTCACATCACAGCGGAGTCATGTACAGAGGTACGTTGGAAGGGACATGTCGGCAAATGATAGAAAACGACAATTTCTCCCCTTTCTGCCTGTTCGAAGCTCAAGTACTGACCATCGACACCTGGATCTTGTTGCATAGCTGGACATAGGGAAGTCCACCAAGAAAAAATTCCACATTTCAATAAACACTTCGCCCAGGGCTGCTCAAAGCTGAAAATCAATCCATCTCGAAGTTTTGGGCCCTTTTGCCCGTGATTCTTCATTTTGCGACTAAACTATACACAGCAGTCCCAAATTTTCGGCGTCGCTGAATGCGGGTGCCAGCGGCCTACAAGTAAACCAAAAATGAAATCAATGCGACCACTCACATCACAGCTGGGTAATGTTATACAGAGGTACGTTGAAAGTGCCACATGGGCACAAATGGTCAAAAAGCGACAATTTCTCACCTTTCTGCCAGTTCGAAGCTCAAGAACTGACCATAGCCACCGGGATCTTGTTGCATAGCTGGACATAGGGAGGTGCACCAAGAAAAAAATTCCACATTTCAATGAACACTTCGCCCAGAGCTGCTCAAAGCTGATATCAACCTATCTCGAAGTTTTGGGCCTTTTTGCCCGTGATTCTTCACTTTGCGACTAAACTATTCACAGCAGTCCCAAATTTTCGGCGTCACTGAATGCGGGTGCCAGCGGCCTACAGGCAACGTTGAGGTACGAGGTACGTTGAAAGTGACAAGTGGACACAAATGGTCAAAATGCGACAATTTCTCATCTTTCTCCCAGATCCAAGCTCAAGAACCGACCATCGCCACCCTGATCTTGTTGCATAGCTGGACATAGGGAAGTGCACCAAGAAAAAATTCCACATTTCAATAAACAACTCGCCTACGTCTGCTCAAAGCTGAAATCAATCAATCTCAATCTCAATCAATGCGACCACTCACATCACAGCTGGGTCATGTTATACAGAGATACGCTGAAAGTGACACGTGGGCACAAATGGCCAAAAAGCGACAATTTCTCACCTTTCTGCTTGTTCGAAGCTCAAGAACTGACCATCGCCATACGGATATTGTTGCAAAGCTGGACATAGGGAAGTGAACAAGAAAAAATTCCCCATTTCAATAAACACTTCGCCCAGAGCTGCTCAAAGCTGATATCAACCTATCTCGAAGTTTTGGGCCTTTTTGCCTGTGATTCTTCACTTTGCGACTAAACTATTCACAGCAGTCTCAAATTTTCGGCGTCACTGAATGTGGGTGCCAGCGGCCTACAAGCACACCAAAAATCAAATCAATGCGACCACTCAAATCACAGCTGGGTCATGTTATACAGAGGTACGTTGAAAGTGACACTTGGGCACAAATGGTCAAAAAGCGACAATTTCTCCCCTTTCTGCCCGTTCGAAGCTCAAGAACTGACTATCGCCACCCTGATCTTGTTGTATAGCTGGACATAGGGAAGTACACCAAGAAAAAATTCCACATTTCAATAAACAACTCGCCTACGTCTGCTCAAAGCTGAAATCAATCAATCTCGAAGTTTTGGGCCCTTTTGCCTGTGATTCTTCACTTTGCCAATAAACTATTCACAGCAGTCCCAAATTTTCGGCGTCACTGAATGCGGGTGCCAGCGGCCTACAAGTAAAAAAAAAATTAAATCAATGCGATCACTCACATCACACCTGGGTCATGTTATAGAGAGGTACGTTGGAAGTGACACGTGGGCACAAATGGTCAAAAAGCGACAATTTCTCACCTTTCTGCCTGTTCGAAGCTCAAGAACTGACGATTGCCACCCTGATCCTTTTGCATAGCTGGACATAGGGAAGTGCACCAAGAAAAAATTCCACATTTCAATAAACTTTTCCCCAGGGCTGCTCAAAGCTGAAATCTTTCTATCTCGAAGTTTTGGCCCTTCTGGCCCGTGATTCTTCACTTTGCGACTAAACTATTCACAGCAGTGCCAAATTTTCGGCGTCACTAACAGCGGGTGGCAGCAGCCTATAAGCAAACCAAAAATGAAATCAATGCGACCACTCACATCACAGCTGGGTCATGTTATAGAGAGGTACGTTGAAAGTGACACGTGTGCACAAATGGTCAAAACGCGACAATTTCTCACCTTTCTGCCAGTTCGAAGCTCAAGAACTGACCATCGCCACCCTGATCTTTTTGTATAGCTGGACATAGGGAAGTGCACCAAGAAAAAATTCCACACTTCAATAAAGACTTCCCCCAGGGCTACTCAAAGCTGAAATCAATCCATCTCGAAACTTTGGGCCCTTTTGCCGGTGATTCTTCACTTTTCTCACCTTTCTGCCCGTTCGAAGCTCAAGAACTGACCGAGGGCTGCTCAAAGCTGATATCTATCTATCTGGAAGTTTTGGGCCTTTTTGGCCCGTGATTCTTCACTTTGCGACTAAACTATTCACAGCAGGGCCAAATTTTCGGCGTCACTGACAGCAGGTGGCAGCGGCCTATAAGCAAACCAAAAATAAAATCAAACCGACCACTCACATCACAGCTGGGTCATGTTATAGAGAGGTACGTTGAAAGTGACATGTGTGCACAAATGGTCAAAACGCGACAATTTCTCACCTTTCTGCCTTTTCGTAGCTCAAGAACTGACCATCGCCACCCTGATCTTCTTGTATAGCTAGACATAGGGAAGTGCACCAAGAAAATATTCCACACTTAAATAAACACTTCCCCCAGGGCTGCACAAAGCTGAAATCAATCCATCTCGAAGTTTTGGGCCCTTTTGCCCGTGATTCTTCACTTTGTGACTAAACTATTCACAGCAGCAGAAATTTTTGGCGTCGCTGAATGCGGGTGCCAGCGGCCTACAAGTAAACCAAAAATTAAATCAATGCGATCACTCACATCACAGCTGGTTCATGGTATACAGAGGTACGTTGAAATTGACACGTGGGCACAAATGGTCAAAAAGCGACAATTTCTCACCTTTCTGCCAGTTCGAAGCTCAAGAACTGACCATCGCCACCCGGATCTTGTTGCAGAGCTGGACATAGGGAAATGCACCAAGAAAATTTCCCCATTTCAATAAACACTTCGCCCAGAGCTGCTCAAAGCTGATATCAACCTGTCTCGAAGTTTTGGGCCTTTTTGCCCGTGATTCTTCACTTTGCGACTAAACTATTTACAGCAGTGCCAAATTTTCGGCGTCACTGAATGCGGGTGCCAGCGGCCTACAAGCAAACCAAAAATGAAATCAATGCGACCACTTACATCCCAGCTGGGTAATGTTATAGAGAGGTACGCTGGAAGTGACACGTGGGCACAAATGGTCAAAAAGCAACAATTTCTCACCTTTCTGCCCGTTCGAAGCTCAAGAACTGACCATCGCCACCCTGATCTTGTTGCATAGCTGGACATAGGGAAGTGGACCAAGAAAAAATTCCACATTTCAATAAACACTTCCCCCAGGGCTGCTCAAAGCTGAAATCTATCTATCTGGAAGTTTTGGGCCTTTTTGCCCGTGATTGTTCACTTTGCGACTAAACTATTCACAGAAGTGCCAAATTTTCGGCGTCACTGAATGCGGGTGCCAGCAGCCTACAAGCAAACCAAAAATCAAATCAATGCGACCACTCACATCACAGCTGGGTCATGTTGTACAGAGGTAGAGTTGAAAGTGACACGTGTGCACAAATGGTCAAAACGCGACAATTTCTCACCTTTCTGCCTGTTCGAAGCTCAAGAACTGACCATTGCCACCCTGATCTTTTTGTACAGCTGGACATAGGGAAGTGCACCAAGAAAAAATTCCAAACTTCAATAAAGACTTCCCCCAGGATTACTCAAAGCTGAAATCAAGCGGGTGCCAGTGGCCTACAAGTAAACCAAAAATTAAATCAATGCGATCACTCACATCACAGCTGGATCATGTTATACAGAGGTACGTTGAAAGTGACACGTGGGCACAAATGGTCAAAAAGCGACAATTTCTCACCTTTCTGCCTGTTCGAAGCTCAAGAACTGACGATTGCCACCCTGATCCTTTTGCATAGCTGGACATAGGGAAGTGCACCAAGAAAAAATTCCACATTTCAATAAACACTTCGCCCAGGGCTGCTCAAAGCTGAAATCTTTTTATCTCGGAGTTTTGGGCCTTTTTGCCCGTGATTCTTCTTTTTGCGACTAAACTATTCACAGCAGTGCCAAATTTTCGGCGTCACTAACAGCGGGTGGCAGCGGCCTATAAGCAAACCAAAAATCAATTCTATGCGACCACTCACATCACAGCTGGGTCATGTTATAGAGAGGTACGTTGAAAGTGACAAGTGTGCACAAATGGTCAAAACGCGATAATTTCTCACCTTTCCGCCTGTTCGAAGCTCAACAACTGACCATCGCCACCCTGGTCTTTTTGTATAGCTGGACATAGGGAAGTGCACCAAGAAAAAATTCCACACTTCAATAAAGACTTCCCCCAGGGCTACTCAAAGCTGAAATCAATCCATCTCGAAGTTTTGGGCCCTTTTGCCGGTGATTCTTCACTTTGCGACTAAACTATTCACAGCAGTCCCAAATGTTCGCGCTGTACTTGTTTGCGCTGTACTTGGTCGCACTGTACTTGTTTGCGCTGTATTTGTTCGCACTGTACTTGTTCGCGCTGTACTTGTTCGCACTGCAAATGTTCGCGCTGTACTTGTTTGCGCTGTACTTGTTTGCGCTGTACTTGTTCGCACTGTACTTTTGGCGCTGTACTTGTTGGCGCTGTTCTTGTGCGCGCTGTTCTTGTTTGCGCTGTACTTGTTTGCGCTGTACTTGTTTGCGCTGTACTTGTTCGCACTGTAATTGTTTGCGCTGTACTTGTTGGCGCTGTACTTGTTGGCGCTGTACTTGTTTGCGCTGTTCTTGTTTGCGCTGTTCTTGTGCGCGCTGTTCTTGTTTGCGCTGTACTTGTTTGCACTGTAATTGTTTGCGCTGTACTTGTTGGCGCTGTACTTGTTGGCGCTGTACTTGTTTGCACTGTACTTGTTTGCGCTGTACTTGTTTGCGCTGTACTTGTTTGCGCTGTTCTTGTTTGCGCTGTTCTTGTTGGCGCTGTACTTGTTCGTGCTGTACTTGTTGGCGCTGTACTTGTTGGCGCTGTACTTGTTCGCACTGTTCTTGTTTGCACTGTACTTGTTTGCGCCGTACTTGTTTGCGCTGTACTTGTTTGCGCTGTACTTGTTGGCGCTGTACTTGTTGGCGCTGTACTTGTTGGCGCTGTACTTGTTGGCGCTGTACTTGTTCGCACAGTACTTGTTTGCGCTGTACTTGTTCGCACTGTACTTGTTCGCACTGTACTTCTTCGCACTGTACTTCTTCGCGCTGTACTTGTTGACGCTGTACTTGTTGGCGCTGTACTTGTTGGCGCTGTACTTGTTTGCGCTGTACTTGTTTGCGCTGTACTTGTTTGCGCTGTACTTGTTTGCGCTGTTCTTGTTTGCGCTGTACTTGTTCGCGCTGTACTTGTTGGCGCTGTACTTGTTGGCGCTGTACTTCTTCGCGCTGTACTTGTTGGCGCTGTACTTGTTGGCGCTGTACTTGTTGGCGCTGTACTTGTTGGCGCTGTACTTGTTTGCGCTGTACTTGTTTGCGCTGTACTTGTTTGCACTGTACTTGTTTGCGCTGTACTTGTTCGCACTGTATATGTTCGCACTGTATATGTTCACACTGTACTTGTTCGCACTGTACTTTTTGGCGCTGTACTTGTTTGCGCTGTTCTTGTGCGCGCTGTTCTTGTTTGCGCTGTACTTGTTTGCGCTGTACTTGTTCGCACTGTAATTGTTTGCGCTGTACTTGTTGGCGCTGTACTTGTTGGCGCTGTACTTGTTGGCGCTGTACTTGTTGGCGCTGTACTTGTTTGCGCTGTACTTGTTCGCACCGTACTTGTTCGCACTGTACTTGTGCGCGCTGTTCTTGTTTGCGCTGTACTTGTTCGCGCTGTACTTGTTCGCGCTGTACTTGTTCGCGCTGTACTTGTTTGCGCTGTACTTGTTCGCACTGTACTTGTTGGCGCTGTACTTGTTCGCACTGTACTTGTTCGCACTGTACTTTTTGGCGCTGTACTTGTTGGCGCTGTACTTGTGCGCGCTGTTCTTGTTTGCGCTGTACTTGTTTGCGCTGTTCTTGTTTGCGCTGTACTTGTTCGCACTGTACTTGTTCGCGCTGTACTTGTTCGCGCTGTACTTGTTTGCGCTGTACTTGTTCGCGCCGTACCTGTTTGCGCTGTACTTGTTCGAACTGTACTTGTTCGCACTGTATATGTTCGCACTGCACTTGTTCCCACTGTATATGTTGGACTCAGTAGAGCGTCCAGCCCCTATATGATGTCCAACCCCTATGTAGAGTCCATTGGTCCAAAATCCACTGTACAGAGTCCAAACTTGGAATCAACTGTGATCTCAAAGTTTAGATGGACATCACTCCCTGTATAGAGTCCAGCCAATTGGCTTCACCCCTATATAGAGTACATTGGTCCAAAATCAACTGTACGGAGTCCAAACTTTGAAATCAACTATAAAGAGTCTTTATGTGGACAACACTCCCTGTATAAAGTCCAGCCAATTAGGCATCCCCTATCCAGAGTTTGAAATTAGACATAGGATCTGCTGTAAGCAGTGAATATTAACCAGAAAACAGCCTCTCCCTTTAATCCTTTACATCATTCACTTCTCAAGATAAAAAATAAGTATTGAGGCGCCACTGCGCCACTTTATTACATGAAAAACCCTACAAACACCATCCTCAAATCAAGTGGTCTCTTCGCAGACGCTGCAAATTACAATATCTCAATCATGTAGTGTTGCCAAAGTATTGTGCACGCACACACACACATACACACACCCACACAACGCCAAGAAAATACCTAGAAAAAAGACCAAGAATTGAAAGAGAATAATGGAGAGCCAAGGATTAATTATTTGTTTTAAATTATTGTGCGCGCGCACACACACACAAACTTATACAACGCCAAGAAAACACCAAGAAAAGAGTAGAGACACAATACACACGCAACTCCAACAGCCATGCAAACGTCCACCAATTTACACGTAAAGTCAAGAGGAATAACAAATTATTATACGAAACGAATGCATACGTGGGCGGTTGCACGCACGTTTACATACATGTAGTAATGTAAGAGAGTAACATAGTGCAGTAGTCAGCATAATACTAGCACATGCTGAGAGTGCAATAGCAAGCTTCACCATTGCTCATGGCCATGCAAATGTTCAGCAGCACTCAGTTCCGCAAGCTTCTGAAGATCAGCACACCTGCAACAAATTGATAGCACAAGGATACGCTTATTACCGTAATGATGCATGGGAGCACACAACTACCAAGTTCTCAATGAATGTGATGCTCAATGAAAATCCATCCACTCAAAGACCTGTGAACAGGTGACGGTGGGGACAATAATCTATTAGTAATACGAGGAATAAGATCGTTTGTGCACACTCAAGACGCACAGACACACCACCATACATGTAGTGTACACAGTGTTTCACTTCACTGTAACTAAATTGAAATGAGATGATTTGAACAATCTGTACAGCGTTGCCGTCAGTCAGTCTTCCCCAAGATGTAAATGCAATGATTTGTTGTCACGAGGCAGTTTCACTGACACAATGTCATGTTTGTGACATCAAAACGGTTACTTCATGGAATACGAGTACATGTATTAGCTTGAGAAGCTTTTTCTTGTCATCGGCATACAAGAAATCCTCCTACTACTACTACTAGTACACTGGCACTGCGTTTGTGGATCCCATTGCATTTGACATCATACTAGAGCCGAGTAGAGGAAGAGTGTCGTGGAGTTCACATAATTATCACAGGGATAAAAATACATTTCTCATGAAACGAAAGAGCTTGGAAGCTCAGGGCCCTACGCTATGCTTTTTTGCCTTGATGACCTAGACAAAAAAAAGCATAGGGATGTTATAAATTCTTTAAAAAATTCCTTTTTTTTTAAGACATAACCTGGGATTCGAACCCGCACTATCGCGCCCTGCATGCATCCCCCGATACACTTCGCATACATACTAATTCTTCCAAGTTGCTTCACATTATTGTATTGTATTGTATTTATTTAAAAGGATTCTCCAAAAGCAAATGGATGCTTATCACGGAAGTCTCCCACATAAATATCGCAAGAAAAATGGGGAAATGGGGAGAGGAGAGTGGAAGATGAAGCATGGGAAGAAGGGAAACAAGTACCTAAATATCGAGGTATAAAAGCAGGAAAGAAATCGACGAGGGAAGAAATCACCTCTGCAGATAATAGCGGGACATATAGATGAAAAAAACCCAGCAAGGATTAATTTCAAGGAAAAAAAATTTCTCAAACGGAAAAGTTCGGAATTCCAGTCAGAGAATATCTATGCTGAGAGTAATGAGCCTTTAGAGCAATGCGAAAATTGACAGAGGACTGAACGCAGCGGATGTGTTCTGGAAGTTTGTTCCATTCCACAGATAAACTGAAGAGAGGGGATTTAAGGAAATGGGCGCCAGAACGAGGTAAAACTATAGAGGACGGGTGACGACAACTAAGGGATACATTGAATTTGAAACGAATTAGCAAAGACGGAAACTTGTAAAAGACATGATGAAAATACAGCAAGGACAGAATCTGACGACGCCACTTCAGGGATGACCAGTCACAAGTACGATTAAGAATCTGCTTCGGGGTTTCCCACTCAGGAGGGTGCCGGGTCTTACAAAGCAGATATGAACGAGCAGCAACGGCTTGCAGTCGGTCTAACGTAAGCGAATCTGAATGGGATACGGCGAGTGACCAGACAGGGACTGCGTATTCTAACAGTGGTCGTACGTAACACTTGTAGAGCAAATTCACGGTTGAAGCAGAAAGGAAATGGGCCATATGGCGCAACAGAAAAACACGACTGCGAAACTTATGGGTGATAGATTTTATATGGTCAGAAAAATTTAGTGAAGGAGTGATAGTCACGCCGAGATGACAGTGGCTATCACCTTTCTGAATAGGCACACCGTTCATTGTCAAGGGGGATGACGGGCCGGGGGCTAATGCATATTTTTGAAAGGGTAGGTGGACGCATTTACTGGTGTTAAACGTCATGGCAGTAGCTGATGACCATTGACAACACTTATCAATGTCAGTCTGGAGCAATGCATGATGGATAGGAAGTGAGGTGTTTGCTGGAGAAACAAGAATTAAATTAGAGTCATCAGCAAAAAGGGATAGGGTACTAGAAGCAGGGGCATCAGGAAAGGAGTTGATGCACAGGTTAAAAAGAAGCGGGCCGAGATGGGAACCTTGGGGTACGCCAGCGGTGATGGGCAAAGGGTCAGAAAGAGTTTGGCCAATGCGAACGCAAATACTACGATCACTGATGAAGTCCTTCACCCAAGAACAGGCAGAAAGAGAACACCAACCTGAAACAGATTGAATAACTAAATGATGACTAACTCTGTCAAAGGCCTTAGAAAAATCAAGGAACAGCTGGTCACAAGAAGACTTAGAGTCAAATGCACGCGAAACAATTGAGGTAAGCTGTACCAATTGGTCAACTGTTGACCTCTTTCGACAAAAGCCAAACTGGCTGGAACTGATAATTTTATGGCTCTCAACAAACGAGTAAAACTGACGGCTAATCATAGACTCATACAATTTGGCAACTGCATTTAACAGCGATATAGGACGGTAATTGACTGGGTGAGAAGGATTACCTTTTCCCTTGAACACAGGTACAACAACGGGAGATTTCCACTCCCTGGGCTGAGTACTGGACAGCAAGCAGCGGTTGAAAAGGGCGGGAAGAGACTGTGACGTGACCTCAGCTGTTTCACGGAGGATGCGATTGTTCAGCAGTCCAGCGGTTTTACGTTGAATGGGAAGTCTGGATAGCGTGTCAAATACGGACTGCACAGAGAATGGTTGTATGGAGAACTTCACAGTGGACGTGGGTGTTAAAATACCAGCTGAGTGCAGGTCAGGTGTTAGCAGTGGCGCCTGGCTGTAGCTCGCAAACACTTTGGCTAGGAGATTCGTCTTTTCCGTATTACTCATGGCTGGGTAGGCTTGGTTGTCATGGTAGAGGTCAGGGATAACCGGAGACGGGCGATTCACATTACAAAGGATCTTTGCTTTGCGCCACCATGTACGGGTTCCATGATGCTGAGCCATGTCTCTCGCCATCCTCTCGTGATAATGGCGTTTCGCCTTCCGGAGCAAGGAAGTAAGACAGTTACGTGAGAGTCTATACGCTATCCAACTATCTGTAGATCCGAGACGTTTGGCCTTGGCGAAGAGGCGATCCCGAAGCCGCCTCTGACGATGGTGAACAGCAGAGTACCAAGGCTTGTTCGATGGAAATGTGCTTCTCCGGACAACGGGAACAAACAACGATACAGAGTCTTCCAGCGCTGTGCGCCACAATGACCAGGCCTCATCAACTGTTTGCGCATTTTGGACGGCATCTAGCAAGGGTAGTTGCCACACGTGGTTGTTAAATGCTTGCCAGTCCGTGTGGGCAAAGTCGAGCCAGGTGTTTTGTGCAGAAGATATTTGGGCTGTGGAGCCTGCTGATCGGTTGTGGACGACATCGAAAACTACAGGACAGTGATCAGATACCGGTGGGAGGATGGTGAGATGGGAGACTGCTATTGGAGCATTAGTGGTAACTAGGTCGAGTAGTGATGAACTCTTACCACTTGCGGAGTAGCGGGTAGGCTGTTGATCCACAAGTTGCGATAAGCCCAGATCATCCAGGGTGTCATACATGCATGTACCAGCAGGTGTATCAGGATCGGATGCTAGCCATTTCGAGAGGCGAGCGTTAAAGTCGCCAATGACAAATATGGAAGCTTGAGGACAAGATATTGATTGAATGCAGGTCCGGAGTGCGCTGCAGAACTGATCAGGTGGCTGCCAAGGAGGACGGTAACAACAGAACACAAACGTGGAGTTGGGGCGATGCTCTAGTTCTATGCACACAATTTCAATGGTTGGATCAGCAGGCTGAAGATCTGGACGATGTTTGGTAGCATGGGAAATGGAAGGGTGGAGGAGGAATGCCACTCCACCTCCACGTCGCACGGTATTGTTGTGACGGTCATGCCGGATAATTTTGTATTCAGCTGACGGTGTTAATATTGAACTTGTGATATCAGGAGTCAACCAGGTTTCAGTTATGCCCAAGATATCTAGTTGAGATGTGCAGAATAAGTTTTTAATTTCATCAGCCCGCTTCAGCCAGCTGCATGCGTTAACTGTGCAGATCCTGATACTCGACGGAGACTTCATATCAGGAATACAAGGTGAAAAGTTGAAAGTCAAAGGGGGCGGTTGGAATGGTGGAGCAAGAGGGTTCAGTGCGGTCACTTGCGATTGTCGGCCGGGAGAGAACGGGGCTGCATTTGGGTTAAGAGTAAAAGCGTGTGGTGATGTGGGAAAAAAGATGGGTGCGTGTGGATTCAACATCACAGTTTATGATTTCTTGGGGAGGGGTGGGTTCTTGAACTTCCATTCTCGTGCTGTTACATGCTCGGGCCAGAACTCGTTTTCCAGAACATTTCTTTCGTCATGCTCAGCAACTGTCAGATGTGCGTACAACGTGCCGCACACTGTTCTGGAGGGGATCAGTCTACAGCCAGTAACTTCCACATTCTTCTTTCTACAGTACGCAACAAGATCATCAGCACTGCAGTTGATATTGATGCCCCCAACGAATACAACTCTGCGTGCTATTTTCTTACCTCCACGCAGATCTGCGGGCTTCCTGTGGCGGTTGGCGGCTTCACGTACGATCGACCAGTCGTACTTGGTACTGACAGGCTTGTCAGTAGTACGACTGGCGTTGCTTGTTCGTGGTGCAGAGAGGGTACGACTAGCGTACGTCTCGCCCGGAGCTGCGGATTCAAGCCCTGTTGGTGCAGATGCGGGTACTGGTACACCCGTGGCGGGAATGTTTGTAGCTGCTCGGTACGAGTACTCATCCTGGAGGCTGTCGAGGGCGTGATTAGAGACATCGATGGGCTGGTGGTGTTGTGTCAGGGCGCGAAGCTCCTCCCTGAGTTCTGCAATGGCGGCATCTTTTCCTTTCTCCTTTTCTAGAGAGATTTTTCGTAGGTCGGAAACTTCTTATGATCTTGCATTTGAAAGCCCTATTTGAATATGCATTGTGGCCAACCGTCTTTGATGGTACGGTACGGTAGGGATAGGTACGGGACAGGTACGATCGAGGGTAATACGACACCGTCTCCCGTACCGTACCATCAAACACAGCTGGCCACATACAGCTGCCCGCAATATTTAAATAGGGCTTTCAAACGCAAGATCATAACGTGAAGCAACTTGGAAGAATGGGTATGAATGCGAAAGTGTATGGGGGAATGCATGTAGGGCGATAGTGCGGGTTCGAATCCCAGGATATGCCTGAAAAATAGGAGAATTGAAAAATTTATAACATCCCTATGATTTTTTTGCCGTCAGATACGGGATAGCGCCAGGCGTGACACAAACAAACAAACAAACACACAAACAAATACCAAATTAAAGCTGTGTGGACCCTGGCTAGCGCCAGACGTTACTGAAGTAACGTCTTCTGCATAGCTACGGGAATAAAATAATAATTGATGATAGCTGACGATCGTATACGATTGATGCAAAGTCCTTGCAGTCCTTGAGGATTATTACGAAGTGGTTGATTACTTTTAGGGCATTCATCCAAGCAACATCAAACAAACGCGATACGCTCCTTGAAAATGGAAACAAATCCAAGCATAACGACAGAACAGCAGACAAACGAGTAAAAGCTTCCTTACCTCAGCTCAGTCATCGTTCTGCCATGTACTAGTAGTTGGACAGCCTTTTGACACGGTGGTACAGGCAGCTCTTGTCCAGTCGAACAGGGTATCCTTGTGGCGTCGAACGAAAGAGAGTGTCAGTGTATCTGACGCGTCAGATTGGAACTGTGCTGAACTTTTCTCGTTCTCCTCTTTCTGCTTTCATCCCTCGCTCTGATGAAACCGTTCAAACGTCTTACTGGCAGCAATGGCCAGCCAAACAGGGGATCTTTGTGGCGTCGAACGAAAGAGAGTGTCAGTGTACCTGACTCGTCAGATTTGAACTGTGCTGAACTTTCCTTGTTCTGCAATTTCAGGGCTCACAGCAACCATGCCAAAACCTCGATTACGTGGGAGGACATCTTGGATATGATCACCATAGAAACGAACTCGCGTGACCGCTAAGCGCAGGCGTAGAACGCAGTCGCGCAAGGAGATTTTGACTTGCTTGGGAGTTGCTGTGACAAGGACTGAGTTGTGAATGGTGAAGGAGATGGCCGGAGACTGTCTCACTATCTCTATTTCATTTCGGTAGTTCTTGTTTCCTTCCAAGTGGATTATTTCGCGAGCAGTGTTGGCCTTGTCGGCCGAAGGCTTCATTCAGACTGTCCGCACACGGAGTCCTGCGAAAGGTAGCCCTGAGCAGAATCCTGCAGTCGTCGACGAAAGAGTTCAACATCTACAGCCGGGCAGCTACGCCGCTGATGCACAGGAGCGGGTGACGGGAGAGGGAAAGGACTAGCATTCCTTGACGGCATGGAGCAATGACTCACGTCGTGTTCTAGTTTTGTTTCTCCGCCGTGAAGTCCCGTTGTGTAAACGTAAATATACGGCTGGTCTGCGAAGAGCCGTGTATATAGCGCAGTGGTGACGATGTGGAGTTGTGAATTATTTTATTCGCCACTCCGTTTCGTTGCAAGAGAACAAGTCCAATGGCTTCGCCGTTGTGCTGGCCATGTATTTCTTCTGTCTGCCATAACCATGATAACTCCAGGAGGACACAGCGATGAAGCGCCAGGCGAGTAGCAAAAACATTTCGAAAAATTGCTTTGCTGCTAGTGTTATTTCCGCATTCACAACAAGTGCAGCGCGCGCGGTTCTTCCTCGCGGCTGCACTGCAGATAGGGTTGCCTTTGAAATGTTCGTTTGTACCCGTCTCTGGCCCGATTTTGATGGCCAATAGCTTAAAATTTTCATTAGGAAAATTAGAAGAACTTCTCCGAGAGACTTTTCAATTTTAGTACAATAATCCAAATCAGAATTACGCCTGCACCAACTGATACTTTGGCTCCATATGTACGCCAAACCGTATCGATTAAAACAAAAAACTCTCGGACAAATCCTTACAATGGGTATTGAGAGAATGTTCCTAGAGTTTCAGAGGCCTAGGCAAAAGCATTGGTACAAATGAACATTTTGAATGCACCCCACTTTCAAGTTTTCAGAGATATCTGCCTGATCGCATGTACACGATTCTGGCATGCTGGCTGGCTCGTGTGACAGCGGCCTGTCCAAAATGGCGCCCACGCTTTTGTGTGATGCTGTGAGCCCTGAATTTCTGCTATCATCCCGCGCACTGCTGAAACGTCTTCAGAGAACCACAAGACGCTTTCCAGATACGATTTGGAACGTCTCCTTATCCTCCTTGGTTACCTCGAGACAGATTACTGTCAGCAACTGCACAGCAGAACTGACAGCCATGGCTGAAGTGAAGAAAGGAATGCGCTGCCACGAGGCAAGCAAAACTGAAAAGGTGTTTGTTCTCTTTCGGGCACAACACACAGTATAGGACGGCGTGACTGGATAAACTGGACTCCTGGACCGTGAATAGGGGACTTGTAGAAAAAGTGTACTCCTTAGGGGATTGCGCGGCAGGATGAAGCTGATCAAAACTGAGTGGACTCCTGGACTCTGTATAGTGGATTTTGGACCAATGGACTCTATATAGGGTGCTGGACATCATATAGTGCATGGACTCTATACTGAGTCCTACATATATGTTCGTGCTGTACTTATTCGCACTGTACTTGTTCGCACTGTACTTGTGCGCGCTGTACTTGTGCGCGCTGTACTTGTGCGCGCTGTACTTGTTCGCGCTGTACTTGTTCGCACTGTACTTGTTCGCACTGTACTTGTGTGCGCTGTACTTGTTTGCGCTGTACTTGTTTGCGCCGTACTTGTTCGCGCTGTACTTGTTCGCGCTGTACTTGTTCTCGCTGTACTTGTTCGCGCTGTACTTGTTGGCGCTGTACTTGTTCGCACTGTACTTGTTCGCGCTGTACTTGTTTGCGCTGTACTTGTTGGCGCTGTACTTGTTCGCACTGTACTTGTTCGCGCTGTACTTGTTTGCGCCGTACTTGTTCGCGCTGTACTTGTTCGCGCTGTACTTGTTCGCGCTGTACTTGTTCGCGCTGTACTTGTTGGCGCTGTACTTGTTCGCACTGTACTTGTTCGCGCTGTACTTGTTTGCGCTGTACTTGTTGGCGCTGTACTTGTTCGCGCTGTACTTGTTCGCACTGTACTTGTTCGCACTGTACTTGTTCGCACTGTACTTGTGCGCGCTGTACTTGTTCGCACTCTACTTGTTCGCGCTGTCCTTGTTCGCGCTGTACTTGTTCGCGCTGTACTTGTTCGCACTGTACTTGTTTGCGCTGTACTTGTTCGCGCTGTACTTGTTCGCACTGTTCTTGTTCGCGCTGTACTTGTTTGCACTGTACTTGTTGGCGCTGTACTTGTTGGCGCTGTACTTGTTCGCACTAAGTCCACACGGCCACAGACTCGTAGTACATGGCACATGCAGTATTACTCATGATCTCCAGAAAACTTGACATTAAGGGGGCAGCCTGGTCGTAAAATCCCTGAAAAATCGAATTTGTGAATTCATATCGAGGACTACATCAGTTGAAAGAGCATGAACAGCTGCAAAATCTCTGAAACTTTTGTCTCGATCTCACCAGCCGCAAGAGTTATGGCCGAAAATGTGCCCTTGTAAGGAAAGATTTGCACGCTGTCATTTGTTGGCAGCACTGTATTTGAATGTGAGCAGACCGTGCGCAACTTGTCGTATCATGGAAACACGCGAAAGTGTGCACAATTTTGCTCCAAGTCCAAAAGATCACGTTTTTAAGCCACGTATTGGGCTGCACGGCTTCGCCCGCCGCCGTGCAGCAGGAATTTTGCCAACACCCTCGTGACGTTGCAGATATGTGGCTTGATTATTGTCGTTGACGTTGATTTAGTGACTTTGGCAAGTTTGAGTCGTGTCAAGAAGTCAGGTAGGATTCTGTACTAGGCAGTAGTGGAACGTGAGTGGAAGTCTTTGCCGATTTTTGAGGGTATCCTGAATTCGGTTTGCAGCGCTTTGGAAATGGCTTGCTGTGGAGGTTCCAGCACTGGATGTTGTATCAAAGGTACGACCTCGTAGCACACCCTAAACCTAAAAACATTCCAAAAATGACTTGGGTTTGTGGGAGTCTGTGAAACAACGCCCACTCCTGCCGTTGTGACAGATTCCAGGGCCACGTTGAAGGGCCCTATCCCACCATCCATGGCTGCTTCTGGACTTTTTTTAGGTTTTGATCCCGCCCACGGACAGAATGGGCAAGAAATAGGGGTGAAACAATTATACCGAATATTCGAATACTCGTTTGGATTTTTCAACTTTAATCGTACTCGGAATAAATCAGAGTACTCGCTCATACATGGTACATGCATTTACCACAGAAGTCTGCAGTTTCAGAGCAGCAGTCAGCAGATATTGATGTACAAGTGTGTGGTGAGCATTTGTACATGAGTAGAGAGAGCCCAAATGACCCACCAACCAATACACTCGAGAAAAGGATTGCCGATTGGTTCAATCAGGGTTGTACCATGTGATTTTTAAGGCCCTTGGTGTGCGATTTTTAGGATATCAAGAATACTCGAATACTCGAATATTCGATCGGAGAAAATCAGAGTACTCGAACTCGGGATCTCAGTGCCAACTTTCACCCCTAGCAAGAAAATGTGAAAAAAATTGTAAATTCACTTTTTGGCTCTTGGGTGGCTCGCACACCGTGGCACTATGCCGGAATTTTGAGTTTTTCCGGCCTGGAAAGCCTGTCAGTGAGGCGCAAGAACTTATAAATCATGTCCAGAGGGCCAGCATATTGGCAGGAGTGTGTGGTGAAAATTTCACTCAAATCCATTGAGAGACACCAACGTTACGGTCAATTGAATGCCATATGAAATATACGACCAGGCTGCTACCGTAACAAAACATTTATGCCATGGTCCAAACCAAGCGGAATTGCACAATCTTGTATATTATGTACTCTTGATAGTACCTTAAATGTTGAAGTTGAATTGGCAGACTGGCCTTCACTCAGCTCAGGATAAGAAGATATCCATGAAGACATCAGACTTCGAACAGTGCAGTTAGTCTGCAGCAGAGATGGAACATAAGACACAAAGCAAGTCCATTGTCATCAACTACAGTGTAAACACAGATACAATATACATGCTCAAGATGTTATGCTGCTGTTCTCGGATGTTATGCTTCTGCTAGTAAACAGAGCCCCACACTTCTCTTGAAGGAGTGAGGTTTGTTGTAAAACTGACTCAAAGCTCAATGCCCAGCCACACATGGCCTGAATCACCGGTTTTGTGATCACAAGGCCACCCCACATTGTCAAGCTTATCAGAGCCCCACACTTCCCTTGAAGGAGTGAGGTTGAATGCAAGACTGACTCATAGCTTCATTGCCAAGTAATACACGGCCCGAATCACCGGGTATGTGCAATCACAAGCCTGCGCCACATTGTCAAGCTAATCATAGCCCCACACTTGCCTTGAAGGAGTGAGGTTAGCCGTAAGACTGACTCAAACCTCAATACCCAGCAATACATGGCCCGAATCACCGCGTATGTGTAATCACAAGGCTGCCCCACATTGTCAAGCATATCAGAGCCCCACACTTCCCTTGAAGGAGTGAGGTTGAATGTGTAGGAGTTGCATTTTAATAGAAAGTATATTTTTCGCAGTAAAAGAGTATTTATTTGTAGAGCTTGTGTTGATACAGATTCCTAGGTTCAAACCCCAAGATGGGCAGTTACTGAGTTAGTTACATTTTTCTCTCCTTGCGTATTTTGTATCTGCATGTTATTATCCTTTCCGTGAGTCGCTCGTGAGTAATGTATGAGTCGTGTATGGCTAAACCCGTATTTACCCGTATGACTGTCTGTTGTGAACTGTGGTTGGCTGCTAGTGTTATTGTTCTAGAACATTGGCATAATTAACCAATCACAGTTCACAGCTCTGGAATATTCTAGAATTTCGTAGGCGGGAGTGCAGTGCTTGACCCGCGGACAGTGAATATGGCCGCAGGTGTCGGCGACGCACCCGCGATCGCGGCACCGTTCGACCGACGCTGCTCTGCGTCGAATATGGCCGCCATTTCCAGAGCCCTTTGCACAGCTTGTGCCAAATTATTCGGGCTGGCACTTCGAACATGAAGGCGAAGCTCTGGAGAAGGGAGGCCATCAATAAACTGATTGACCAGTAAACGCTGGAAGAGGTCCGTGTTTTCCTGGCCTGGGTAGGCCCTTGACGCCAATTTCTGCAACGCAGACGCAAACTCCACCGGACTCTCAGTTGTTTTCATTGTTCTAGCCCGAAACTCGGCCTCGAATGACGGGCGATGCTGCGGAGGGTTGAAATACGCAGTGAGACGATCGCACAGCTCATCGTAGGCATCATTCAGGTGCTGGGCCCGGAATGTCTGGTAGACATGAAACGCCCCCTCGCGGAGACGACAGGGCAGGAAATCCAGGCGTTGATCATCCGCATATCCGTTTGCCTGACAGGCGACGTTAAATTGGCCCATTAATGTCAGCCAGTCTTCGCTGCTTGTTCCGGTAAACTCAGGTGGTAAGATGACTGGGCGTCCTAAAGCCGCCGGGCGGGCCGGAGCTGCTGCTGCTACTTGAGGCTGCGCCATCTGAACAGGAAAATGCACGGGTTGAACTGAACACTACGAATATATACACTATTACATTGGTGGCAGCGGTAAACTATAATAGTGCTATAATAGTGCTCAAAGGTGTACACCGAGTACTCGATTACCCACTCTCTGAGTACTTGACTTGAATTCAAAAGGGGGCTCGACACTCGATAACATAAACGTATACTACAGGAATGTGTATACTGTCCAGACTTTGTTGTGTAGCACAAACTGACAAACTCTACTGATGTAGTTCTTTTCGACGAAGTCAGAGCTGTGCCTCTATTACTGGCAGTGTTTAGCTATGTAGATGCAAGTGAAAGAGAGAAAAATCACTCCGAGAGATGTCATTGTCTTTGGGCGAAACTTGACCTACTCTGTACAATGAACATGTGTGCTCAATTCGAAGCTAAAGTTGGCGTGATGGGAATGTGCCCATAAGAGCGACCAGGTTGCCTTATAGAGTACTCAAATCGATAATGACACTACACGTTCTATAGCTTATAGTACTCAAGTCGATAGTGAAACTACTCGTTCGATAGCTTATAAAGTACTCAACTCGATAGTGGCACTACTCGTTCGATAGCTTATAGAGTGCTCAACACGATAGTGACACTACTCGTTCGATAGCATATAGAGTGCTCGTTCGAGCACTACTCAAAACCTGCTCAAAACCTAGGCAATGTACATTTGTACATTTAGATAAAAAATCTTTCCCACTGCTCAAAACCCTGGGGTTGTGCATGTACGCTTGAGCTGGACGACAGAATGGCCGCAATGGCGAAGAAGGGCGCATACAAAACGCTGAAGGATTACAAGGACAACTTTTGCCGGTCCCTACCATGCCGGCTCATTAATCCTTCAAAGAGTGAAATCGGCATAGTCTCCAAGTCCATACTCGGTACCACCCTAAAACAGCTCTGCCCCCAGCTGCAGATTCATGAATAGAGGGACACGGCAGCGGTGATAGAGTGGTTCACAAGCATTCCAGAAAAAGAAAAGTGCATACTCGTGTGCTTTGACAATGTAGATTTCTACCCCTCAATCTCCAAAGACCTCCTCCAGAGATCCATTGAATTCGCCCGCCGCTACACAGACATCTCCCAGGAGGAGTGTGACAACATATTCCACGCCAGGCAATCGCTGCTGTTTGGCTTGGAGAAGCATAGGGTGAAAAGTCACAACAAGCACTTTGACGTGACAATGGGGAGCTATGATGGAGCTGAAGTGTGTGAGCTTGTCGGAGCCTTTGCCCTCGCCATGATAGCGAACATATTCAACGGCAGAGACGTCGGATTGTATCGGGACGACGGTCTGGCTGTGTTCAGGAATGCGTCGAGACATGAAGCTGACCGTATAAGAAAGGAAAATACCAAAATATTCCAGAACCTGGAACTGGAAATAACGATACAGACAAACCTGAAGAGAGTCGACTTTCTGGACGTGACATTGGACCTGACCACCGGAAAGTGCCGCCCTTACCGGAAACCGAACGACAAGCCGATGTATATCAACTACCAGTCAAATCATTCACCTACAATCATCCAGAACCTGCCTGCATCGATCAGCAGAAGACTCACAGAAATTTCCAATGATGAAGACGTGTTCAGAGATGCGACTCTGGTCTATAGTGATGCGCTGAGAGAGAGAGAGAGAGAGAGAGAGAGAGAGAGAGAGAGAGAGAGAGAGAGAGAGAGAGAGAGAGAGAGAGAGAGAGAGAGAGAGAGAGAGAGAGAGAGAGAGAGAGAGAGAGAGAGAGAGAGAGAGAGAGAGAGAGAGAGAGAGAGAGAGAGAGAGAGAGAGAGAGAGAGAGAGAGAGAGAGAGAGAGAAGAGAGAGAGAGAGAGAGAGAGAGAGAGAGAGAGAGAGAGAGAGAGAGAGAGAGAGAGAGAGTGGATACCGGGAAAACGTACAGTACTTCGACGAGGGTAAAACGGACGAGACAAGAAAAGAAGAAGAAAAGGAAGGGGGTTGCAAAAGGTGCAACCTGTGCCCGGCCGAAAAATTAGCAATCGCACAAGCACCCAAGCACCTATCTCTCTCTCAACAAGAGGAGTGAACTTATGTCAAAGTGTCGCTACGGTAATAAGTACTACCTTGGGAACTTCAAACCATCCACAGCCATCACCTAATCAAGTAGGAGACCACCAGCTCCAGTGTTTGTCATTTGAAGTGATACCTTTCACCACTGCTGTCATTCGCACCTTCTAGATTTGCGCCATGATGCCGTCGTTTACGCTTTGCACTGCTGTCATTCGCACCTTTTAGATTTGCGCCATGATGCAGCAATTTACACTTTGCAAGTTTGTGGGTATATTAACCATTATCGCCTTCTTAGTATTTGACCCCACTAATTTCCCTGATACCTAAGCGGTCAAATATATCGCGTATTTGACTGCTTAGTCAAATACACGATATATATTTGACTCCTAGATCCTTAGAACTTCTTGGACTTAGAAATTTTCTCTCCAACTTAGAAAAAGAATTTTTTGAAGAAAGCAGAAATACACAAGATGGGATTTGAACCCACAACCTTGTGAATCTCAGTCACTCTTCCTTACCACCCAGCCACTGTGCTACCGATGCTGAACCTAGTTTAAACAATGATCTTGACTTTCAATGCAGTACAATGCGGTATAGGCTATAGTATAATACTAGAATTACAAGGATATGTCGTATATGAAGAGAAACTATTGCGTGGAGAACACGATAAATAGATTATAGACCTCATAGTTGGTCTATACAGGATATATAGACCTCGTAAAAGACCTCGGGGGACCTCGGTCTTTTACTCGGTCTATATATCCTGTATAGACCTCCTAACCGGTCAGACCGGTATTGATCCAGATTTCATCATTACTGTTATATGATATCGGTTAGTGCATGAAATTTGGAGTAAAAACACTTTTTTCGTTCTCTTATTATTGTTTGAGTGTACATGTACTTCATCCGCGTCATTAAAATTGTCCCTTCCCAGAGAGATTTTTCAAATTTATTTCGTCCACTCGAAGGGCAAAGGAATCAGCTAGAAATTGAGGCAGAGAAGTATCGACGGACCAAGCTTTAGATTGTGGCCTCTCGCTTCGCTGCACTTGTGGTTAAAATCGACATCTTCATCAGAGTTCGAGGCAGACCTTTCAGCACCCAACAATACGCTGAACAACACGCACGTTCCAATTCAGGTCATGAAACTTCATTTTCAAGCGATCCATGCCTCCAGGTGGCAGGCAATGACGGCAAACTAGCATTTTCAAGTACACTGTAACGACCTTCCAGTGGGATAGGGTACGCAGTTCAGACCTGATAACTTCGCAGCAACAGGCACCACAAGTACAGCTCTCGTCAACTTCAGTATTTCGAATTCATGAGATATACCAGGATTCATATAGCCAAGTTTTCAGTCCTGATAAATGCCCACGGCAACGATATGGGCCGGCACGAACTCCAAAAAAAGATACGCGCCCTGGGGCGAAATATTGCGGAGCACGATGTTTGGTGTGGAAGAGAGCTCCGAGACCACCACGGCTTCAGTATCAAGAAGACATTGCGCAGGAAGGGTCGCACCAATGTTCAAATACAGAAAACCGCGATTCCGACAGTCTGACTAAGACGAACAAGTCACAGACAATGCGATGTGCGAAGCAACAATTTTAATGACGCGGAGGGAGTAGATAGAGATCTTTACCAGTGCTTAACGTGCTGGGACGGTACACTGACACTATAGCAGTGCTTAACGTGCTGGGACGGTATACTGACACTATAGCAGACCTAGATCATGGATTTTGAAGTGGTGTGAGCCAGGAAAATTCTTGCTAACATGTAGCAGTGGTAATGATGGCGACATCAGCAGCAGCAGTAGCAGTGTTGGTGGCGGCAGAAGCAGCAGAAGCGTGTTGGTCAGGACAACACTAGAAAAGGAGTGGCGGTGCTGGATGGGGACAGCAGGTGGCGACAGCAGCAGTAGTTCCGGTGATGCTGGTGGGAGAGCAGTCGCAGCAGCTGTGCTGGTGGTGACAGCAGCAGCAGTAATGGCCGTGCCAGTGGCTGCAGCATTCGAAGCGGCGATGCTGGTGGGGACAGCAGCAGCAGCAGCAGCAGCGGTGCTGGTGGCGACAACAGCACCGGTTGCGGCAGTGATGGTGGCAACAGCGGAAGCAGTCGCAGCAGCAGCAGCAGCAGTAGTGCTGGTGGCAACAGCGGAAGCAGCAGTGCTGGTGGCAGCAGCAGCAGCAGCAGTGCTGTTGGCCGCAGTAGTAGTGTTGGTTCTGGTGGCGAAAGCAGCAGCATCAGTAGCGGAAGTGCTGGTACCACCAGCTTCTACAGTCGTCGCCAAAAACATCCGGCCAATGCCAATGCTAATACCATGGCTACAGTGGTATGGTACGCGTTCACAATTGTTCCCGGCGGTACTTGCATGCCACCAAGCGCTTGGCATGATGGCATGCAAGCATTTACTGGCCCAGTACAGCACAGCATTGAACAGACTCTGCACTGACTGCAGTCGTACACCATGGTACACTACCTGAGCTGTTGGTTGTGAGGCCCAGCAGCGCATGTTTTGTACACTAGTGCCAGTGGTAGTGCATGCTGACCATCCACAGCCAGCATAGCACTGGCTGGATTTTTTTGGGTAACGACTGTAGCTTGACCATGATTTTTATTCAGTGATAAATTTCCAGAATTCATGTCCATGTAATTAGTTCTGCATTTGTACGGCTATTTTTCAACCTCACCTTCCTCCCAAGTCCATGGCTGAATACGTCCGTGAGCGCGCTAGAAACATTATCCTCTTCCACAGATGTAGCATTTGAAGGTAGAAATAGCGAACTGCTGCATCCCTTCATAAGTACGCTACTTACGGACTATCCGCCACGCTTGCCAATAACCGGCCTGTTCTGACCACTATGTTCTAGTTACTTAGAGGCAAATAGTAAGATTGTGCAAATAAATTCTAGCTTGCTTCGCCGAGGAAACTCTTGCAGTGTAAATACTCAGGATGATATAGTCTGGTCGAAGGCAGGAAGCACGACTGCAAGCCTCTACTCCCACCGCCATACTGTCACTGTAGTACTAACAGTAGATCTACTACTACTACTAGTACTACTAGTACTAGTAGTAGTAGATCTACTACTGAGTAGATCTACTAGTCTGTGACAAGTGTGAGAGATTTTCTGCACCTGCACCGGTCACCCGGGCCATGGCTCAGTCACTGAGTCTGTGTAGAGTCAGTGAATCTAACTAATTCTAATCTAAGTCAGGCAACGGACCTCAGCTCCGATACGTGCTCTCTAGACTTTAGTATAGACTTACTTCTTTGCTGCTACAGTGCTAGCTCGGCGTAGCTAGCTGTGCTCGCTGTGCAGACCTGTGGCTGTGTCACAGTGTGTGTGACTGGCCGCAGAGCTAAAGCATTGTACTACTGCATGTAGCATACCGGTACGCGGTACCATGATTACAGACTGTCTGTCAGCGTGTACGTGTGTCAGGCAGTGCGCAGATCTACGCTTCCGCATGTCCCGCTCAGCTAAGTGCAGCTAGCTGCGAGGTCACCAGGTCACCGCCGTGACCAGTGGTGACCTGGTGCAGTGTTGGGCTTGGTTCATTCAGGCTTTACTTTAGAGTTTAGTCACACTGCACTGCACTAACTAACTGTCTGCAACACGGTACGGTAGGATCTAGGACTTTGAGTTTTGACTTCCAATTCCGCTCCTGGAAGCGAAGGCCAGATCCCAGGCCAGGGCCAGAACCAGGCTAACGATTCATGCCCCCACAAGGCCACATGTAGGCTTGCAGCTTACACTTACATGACAGTTTTTGCATGCGTCGCGCACCCGTCTGTATACCTGGTATACATGGTATAGTGTAGATCTACACTACAGACTGTCTGTACTGTGTAGTGATGGCTAGGTGTCACCATGGTCACACAGACTGTGCCCGCTAAGTGCACACGCTGTCTGTAGTGTAGACTGTAGTCGTACTACTAGTAGTAGTAGTACTAGTACTTAGTACTAGTAGTAGTACTACTACTAAAGTACTAGTAATACTAGTACAGTAGTACAGTAGTACTACATTGTAGTACTATTATAGTACATGACCACGAGACCATTTTGACATACATAAATATTATTGTGTTGTGGGTTCATATTTCGATCATTAGAATGTCCGGGTAATTACTACTAAGGCCACACTGAAGAAGGTCTGTGGTTCGACTAACCCGACCGACCGTACATTTTTCAGCCCGACCGTAACTTTTTTTCGGCGGGCTGTCGTGTGACTGACGTACGTGGACTGAACACGTCCACGTCTACGTGCTGTGCAGCGTGAGTCTGCGGACGCAGGCGGCTCCTTTGGCTTTTGGACTTGACTTGTAGTTGTACTGCAGTGCAGTGCAGTGAGTGGTACGACTGCTGCCTTGTGCTGGTAGTAGAGTCTACTCGATACGACCACCGGCAGACTGGCGAGACTTATTTTGAAGTGACCGTCCGGTTGAGAGTGATTGCCTCGTTCCAGATTAAGGACGGCCTTCTGTTTTGGGATGAAGGACAGACGAGATTGCACTTTCCTCGTGTATTGGGAACGATATTTCACCTGTACCGGTAAGTTGCTGCTCCATGTGTGCAAGCACAGGAAGCGTCGATGGAAAAAGCCCATGTATTCGTGCACGCCGACACCAAACTAGCAATACATGTACCGGTACATTGTACAATTTGTACTTCGAAGTAGTTCCCGAACTTACTTTCAACTCGCATCGTTCTTCATTTGCTTGATGATTTGGACAGTCAGAGTCACCGCTTGTTATTCTCTTCTCGTTCCAGAGCTACACAATGTTTCAAAGTATTAGCCAGTGATCCCTTTATACAACATGTATGCATGGCATAACACTGCGTAATAATGCCGATGTACTGGGTGTCTAAAGGCAGTACAGTGTATTTACATGTACTAAAAAATATATTAAAAAAAAAAAATCCGCCCGCCCGCCCGTAAAAAAAATGTCCATGTTAGTCGAACCACACACCTTCTTTAGTTTGGCCTAATTAGAAGTTTTTTCCTAGCATTTTGAGGTTCGAATTATCAGGATTCCACCTACATGTACACGTAGTAGTAGATCTAGGGCGCGTCTTCATCAACTGTTCAAACAGATTTTATAAAAAGATTAGTTGATGTGTCCCCCTTAGTCTGTCCCCGGGGAAAATTGCGGAAAAAAATCGCAAAAAACGCGGGGAAAAACGCGGCATAATATTGCATAATTTGCGGTGAATTTGCGGTAAATATGCGGTAAATATGCGGTGAATAATATTGATCTGCGGCAATTTTCAGTGAGTATGTAGTGAAATCAATCAGTTACAAGTCTCTGGTGTAAGCACTCGTCATATTTGAGTAAAAAGCCGCCACGATGAGACGTTGCTGACCGAACAGTGCACTGTGTACATGTGTGTACGTGTAGTGCAACAAAAAAGTTCAAAAAACGCGGGAAAATCGCGGAAAACGCGGTCTTTTAACCCTTTACCTTCTGACCATAATTCCCAGGCAGTTCCTAATGCGATATTTCTCACCTCATTCTGAGATTATCTTTGGTTATAGTCGACCGATTTTCACACTCTTAGGCATTCTGGAAAGCTCTCCACGAGCTGCGTACAATGAGCTCAAACTGGACACTACTGAGATCACATATCCAACGCCAGGGTGCTTCAAATACTCCCCATCGCTGGGTATCCGAGAAAATTCTCTCCTCGTCAGCCATTTCTCACTCCTTCATCGTAAACATTTCAAATTTGTTGTCCTGGGTTTCTTTTTATGCTGCCGACGCGCTCAAAACATGCACATGTGACTCAGCATGTCAGGAGAGGGAAAATCCCCAGCTCAAGGCCAGTCACTCAGAAAAAAATCGACTTTTGCCGTGACTGAAATGTCGAGCGCAATATCTTTGGAATGCGGCATCGCCGCTCTTCGCCGATTGTTGCAGTGAACAGCTGGGCTCGTCGGCTTCTTCCTACATATTTGGTTTTTGAGATTCCGTCAATAATTGATCGAGTTACGAATGTTTTAGTGCATGCATGTCCATCGACCAAATTCGGTCGATTCATGTACACACAGAAGGTAAAGGGTTAAAAAATCGCAAAAAAAGCGGAAAAAAACGCGGCCGCGGAATTGCAATTTTCCCCGGGGACAGCTTAGTGGCCTTACTGCATTTGAACGATTTCCATCATTTTAGAGTTTTTCAGTGGAATTGTCATGGCGATGATGACGTTCGATCAGATCTACCATCTCCACGTACTACGTGACGTAGCTACCTATTCCAAACTCTTCGAAACTAATCCACCTCTCCCATCGGATGAGGTTGTGGAGTTTCGAGGAGTTTCGAGGAGCTTCGTTTTTCTGAAGAGGCCACCTCTTCAGACACCTCTTCAGAAAAACGAAACTCCTCGAACGCGCCCCTAATCGTAGTCGTAGTCAACTGCCAGTACTCAGTAGATTACTGCTGCCAGTGCTGGCAAAACAGAAAACTGCATGATTTAGGCCAGCGTAACCATGGTAACCATGCAAGCGGAGCGCGAAGAGAACTGAGTCCAGCACTCCAGGCCAGGTCAAGTAAGTAAGTTCCGGACCCAGAGTTACATCCAGTTCCAACCGGTTTCATCCAGTTCCAACCGGTTTCATCCAGTTCCAACCACTGAAAAATGTCTTTCATCAGGTTCTCACCAGTTCCATCCAGTTCCATAATTATTAGGTTTACATAATATGTACGTAACAATCATAGTAAGTTAGTTCACCATGCAGCTACAACCGCTCCCTGCATGTGTTGCACTGGTTTCAACTGGTTTACGGGCGGCGGGGAAAATAATGGTACAACACCGACTCAGCACGCATGCGTCTCACAATTAATCATGAGAACTGCATCTCTGGCGTTTCTCCTAGCGCCTGGGTTTGCTTCAAACAAACTGTCCTCTTTTTTTTGTGTCAAAGTGAGAGCCTGCTTCCATGCGACAGCTAGCTGCCGCTTGAATGGATCGTAGAATTTGATTAGTTCAGCAATAACTACACTAGGACTGTCGAAAGAAATCCTTCACGGAAAACGGAACCCCATTAGCGCTTGAACAAATTTGAAAGAATAGGATGAAGTGAAGACATCAACCGATAGCAAAATGTGGAGCGCAAAAAAAGGTAAGCCGCCCATATTGGAAATCATGGAAATATTTGTTCCCGTATTCTAAACGTTCTTGACCTAGTACCATGTAAATAATGGGGCATGCCTAGTAACTACAAACCTGGTGATTCGGGGTGTTCGTTGCTGCGAATTGAACGGTAATTTAGTCTTGCATTGAACAAGTCGATCAGTCAGTCTTGCATTCAACCTCACTCCTTCAAGGGAAGTGTGGGAATTTGATTATTTGATAATGTGGGGCAGCCAAATGATTCCACGCCCGTTTACTTGCGATATGTGTTGCTTGGCAGTGAACGAGTTGATCAGTCAGTCTTGCATTCAACCTCACTTCCTCACGGCAGTGTGGTGCTCTGTAATGCTTGATAATGCGGGGCAGCCAAGTGACTCCATGCCCGGTGATTCGGGATGTGTGTTGCTTGGCAGTGAACGAGTCGATGAGTCAGTCTTGCATTCAACCTCACTCCTTCAAGGGAAGTGTGGGGCTCTGATATGCTTGATAATGTGGGGAAGTCTTGTAACTCCATACCTGGTGATTCGGGATGTGTGTTGCTTGGCAGTGAACAATGAGCCATTCTTGCGTTGAACCTCACTCCTTCAAGGGAAGTGTGGGGATCTGATACGCTTGATAATGTGGGGCAGCCAAGTGACTCCATGCCCGGTGATTCGGGATGTGTGTTGCTTGGCAGTGAACGAGTCGATGAGTCAGTCTTGTATTCAACCTCACTCCTTCAAGGGAAGTGTGGGGCTCTGATATGCTTGATAATGTGGGGAAGCCTTGTACATCCATAACTGGTGATTCGGGATGTGTGTTGCTTGGCAGTGAATGTTGAGTCATTATTGCGTTCAACCTCACTCCTTCAAGGGAAGTGTGGGG